AATTTTTGGATTCCATCCTTAGTGCTGATGATTTATATACAAAACTTGTTACCTTGTCAAAAAATTTAATTGTATATATAATTATAAAATTTGTGTAAATAATTTATCGGTTTGGTTTGGTTATTTATTTTGTTTGTATTCAATAAAATCAAATTAAATAAAATATTATCATTTTTTAAAAAACTTGAATACAATCCAAACCAAAACCAAATAAAAATCAGTTTGGGTTCGATTTTTGGTTTGGATCAGTACTCAACCAAACCGCAAACACCCAGTGGGCCCCTCTTCTGGGTAGAGACTGGGTATCGGATTTTCCTAAATTTCCACTCGGCACCCCCCTTGAAGGATGGAAAAGAAAAAGAAAAATGTAATGGTATGTGTTGTTTTTATGTCACGTAGATTATTAAGGAATGGGAATCAATTTCTTTAGTCTTTATGGTTGTTGACTTGTTGTATTCTTCAAAGCATGGAGAGCGGTTGTGTGGATATGTGTTTTGGGAGTCGCTATGGTGGTTAGAGTGGTGTAACTAAGATCTTAAAGCTTCTTGCTGTTTGCTAAGGGCAGCTCAGTTAGTTGGTAATGCATTTGGTAGTAGTTTTAATCAATAAGTGTGACGTGTAAAGTTGCAGTGAATGCCTCTTTTGGGAGAAAATTTACTGCAATAATGCACAGCTTGATGTGTAACAATATTTGCACCCCAAGGTGTGGCCCAGTGTCAATGTAGTGGGTTGAGAACCATGAGGTCTCTGGTTAAAATCCCGCTGCGGCAAAATCACTAGGTGATTTCTTCACAGATGTCCAAGTCTTAGTGAATAGAGTTACTTGATGCTTGTGTTGGTGGAAAATATCAGGTATATCATGGAATTAGTCGAGGTGCACGCAAACTGACCTAGACATCACGGTTAAAAGAAATATATGAATTTGTAAGTATAGTTATAGTGTGTTAAATGTAAGACTTTCAGTGTTTTTGTGCCATAAATATTGCTATTGGTTTCAAGCAATGCACCAATTAACTTTGCTTCAATTTCAAGCTAGTTGGAGTTGCGATATGTATCATCAATGTCAAACACACTAATTTTGTTTTATTGTCTTTTAAGAAGTAAAGAGTTGTGTAAACAGTTACTCTGTGGGTGATCTCCGTCGATAATTTGGTTCGACTAATCTGTTCTGTGGCATTAGAAATGAATGTTGTTTATAAATGAATAATCACGATGGTTAATGTGTTGTTCTTTCTTGGGCCACTAGTGTGAAAACACACTATTGACTTCTAGTTTTTAGAGTCCTGCGCATCATGGTATGGTGTAATTTGGTTTTCATGGTAAGCTATTTTGGTTTACTCCTCAAGCTTACAATTTTCCTTATTACAGGTGTTAGTTGACATGATCAGAGTGCCAGATTGGGCATTTGAAGCTGCTGGCCAGGAGATGAGAGGGATGGGCCAAGATGCTACTTCATACCATCCAGGACTTTATTTGAGCCAAGCTCAGGTAACGACTGAAAATTTATTGTCAACAGCTCAAGGCACTCCTCGATATGAATCCTTTGAACCTGATCGATTAAAGATTCTTAATGGGTGAATTTCCTTTTTGCACATAGAGAGAAGCAGTGGAGGCGCTCATTCAAGAACTTCCTATGTTCAGGATGAAGGCTGTTCCTACAGACTGCAGTGAGTGCCCCATCTGTTTGGAAGAGTTTGATGTCGGAAATGAGGTATTTTTGTTAACTTTACTTCTTATTATTGGAGAAAATTTAGGACTCCCCTTTTTTTGCATGATGCTCTCAAATGACTCATTCTTAGATAATAAATACATTTTGTATGCCATTCTCAATTTTACTTAAATAACACAAATCTACGCTTCTATACACAGCTTCCACCAAAATAAATTGTGAACATAAAGCAATGATTCAATATTTCTTTTATGGCTGGTTTTCTATATGCAAGTCAGATTAATTTCCAATGTTCTTTTAGGGTAATAGTATGGGACTACTGGGGCAATAATAGTCTAAAGATGCATGCTTAACTAGTGGAAATATTTATTGTCAAGCAATGATCCCCAGCCCCGCCCAATTCGAGAGAAAATTAAGAGCTTAAATTCTTAGAAATTAGAAGAACTTGTCCTGGTGTCATTTTAAGGTTGTAGTTCCTATTTATAGTCTTCATGTTTCTGCAGCTTAGTGAAGAGGATAATTTTAAAACTCGGCATCCCTTGAAGATACATAACTTATTGAAAGATGGTTCAGGAGATCAAAGTCATGCTAATTCCAGTTAAGCGGCACTAGGACATTATGCCTGTTTTGTAATTTGTTATCTATATTTTTCCTCTGTCTCTTTGTGTTGTTGGAGAAGGTTGGTTTGCTAGAAGCCAACACCACAACTGTCACACTAGTTTTGTTGGTGTTACCCTTATTTAGGCTCTGTTGCTATTTTTCTTATTAGAAAACCTTTATGCAGGTCCGTGGTCTCCCTTGTGCTCACAACTTTCATGTTGCATGCATTGATGAATGGCTTCGCCTAAATGTGAAATGCCCTAGATGCCGTTGTTCTGTTTTTCCAAATCTTGATCTCAGTGCTTTGTCAAATATCCCTGCTGATCTAGAAAGGTCATCAACCAACGTCTTGACAGCAGCCCGGTATGTGAGATCCCAACCTTCCAGCCAGAGCTATCTGCTGAGATTGCAAGGTTTTCTCCGCCCTGTGCGCACAGAGGATGCTGGTCCAAGCAGCGAGGAAAATGCAGCTGCTCAATCAAGAGTTGAGAACGGAGCCCCAACATCAGCACCTGACAGCGATAGAAATGTAGAGCATGTGGAAGTTGTGGTGGAGCATTCTCCAAGACAGCTGTAACTATTTGTTCAAATGTTCTAACTTTGCAGGCACTGATATTTTTTGTCAACCTCTAGTCAATGTTGAGTGTTGTAGTGGCGTCTAACAGTAATTAGATTGCTAAAACTAGTGTAAGAGCCGATGGAAGGAAACAGCTACAACAATATCTGTTTTTGGCCTGCTTGTTTTGATGTAAATTTTGCATTGATCTCTTTGATGCATAGTGGTGTCCTTAATTCGCTTAAATAGAATTCTGTCTGGCCAATGCTCTCCAGACCCAACTCGTGAGATTATATAGAGTATGTTGTTGTTGTGGGCAATGCTATGTAATCAGCATCGAAGCTCAGTGCCACAAGTGATTCTTGCATGCATGGCACAGATTGATATGATATTCACCGTGTTTGGAACCAGTAGTTTGTAAAAACAGAAACGTAACAGAATCTGTGTATACATAAAATCGAAGTTCCAATAACAGTACATTAGGATACCATTTGATATTATTACATGGTAGACTTGAGGAGTCAAATTAAGATTAATAATTGAGTTTTATATGTATAGCTAAAGTGGAAAATGACACAGCAATAATCTTTCTTTAGGCAGAATGGCACATCTTTTAATTTGGTCGTTGGCTATTGTGTTCAAAGTTAATAAAGTCACTACTAATTTTTTTTAATGAAGTGCATTCCCTTTTTGTATGTCCACTACTCAGAAAAAGGTAGCTTTTGGAGTTTCTTTTTGTAATTAAATTTGAAAGCAAAATGGGCAAACTCAGTATTATTTATTTCTTATATAAGCGACAAATAACTTTACTATAAAAAAAAATCATTGGAGAAATTTGGTAAGCAACAAAATATTCTAGAATTTGTTGAATTTTGTGTTAATACATACCTTGAAAAAAAACAAGTTCAATAACTGACATTTCATATTGATTGTGTCCTCCCAATCTATTTCAACACACCTCATCTTCACCACATTCCGTAGCCCCCATCCACCCCAAACCCCTTGCCCTCATCGCACCTTCATAGTATTTGTCTAGATTATATACAAATAATTTTTAAACTTACATACCAAATACAAACTATTGGTATGCGCGTACTTAGACATGTCTCGTAAGACAAGTTACTGACTACTTCACTAATTAAATTTTCAAAAGTACATGGTGTTCCTTATTATATTGAGAAAAAGCTCTTTTAATCAATTGATGAAGAAAGGGACTAGTAAATATACGTTTGAAAGTGAATTAAAGCAAGTGGAGGATAATGAACACAACTTTTTTGCTTTTTTTTAACTTTTTCTTTCTTTTTGGCCCCTCAAAAAAGATTAGAGGTTTTGGAAGAGTTGATTGATAAAATATAAAGTAAAGCCTCTCACTTTATGGGTAATGAGGCAAAATATACCTACTCACCACTATCCTCCATATCTTTTACTCTTAGTCAAAAAAGTGGAAACTTTGTTTCTTAACCAAGTAGTTTTCTTTGTGTAATACACCATTACAACACGTGTTCGTTAAATCACTATTGTCAAATTAACTAATATATTTTTAGTTAAATGATTGGATAGACGATTATTTTGTTAATTCTATAAAACTTTGAATACTGTTATGGGAAAAGTTAATTAGAGGTGCAATCAAACGACATTGTGATTTAACATGCACAAGAGAATTATACATCAGAAGATTAATGGCTTAAAACCAAACTAAATCATTAATCATTATTTTAATAATAGATCTTTGCTAACAGTTTCTTTGAAAAAAGTCTTCATAATAACTAATGAAGTTAAAATATCAATAATATTACAAATTTCAATGAAAAATATGTTATAAAGATAATAGAATGATCTTTAATTTAGTGAACTTTAACATGTTACGTGAAAAATTATGATTAAAGACTTATAAAATAAAATAAAAAATTATAATTTTAAACAAATTTAAAAGTAAAATAAATTCGGAGAGAGTGTGTGTGACCACCAACAGATATCTTGCAGCGAATGGGGATACTCCTCTTTAATCAGAAGTCTCGTTTCGAGCCTCGTATATGAATGAAAAAAAAAATGGAGAGAGTGTGCGCGTGCCTACTCTCTATTTTCAAAAAACAACAGATAGAAGTAAACTACTCTAGTATATTTAAAAAAAAGCAAACACCAAAAAGCACTTCCATTATTTTCCTACTTTTTTGTTTTTCTGTCAATACAATAAAGCGCAAAGTTTTGCCGGGGAAACTCAAAAAAATGGAGAAATCAAATTCCAATTCAAGTTCAACTTCCAACTCCAATCACCACCGGAATTTTCCGAAGCATAATAGCCACTTATCAATGTCGGACACTGACTCACAGGTAAGTCAAATGGACTCCTTCCACTCACCACTCCGTTTCGAATCGCTGTTGTGTTCCGATGACCCTCTTCCCGATCACCGTGCCACGAAATCGCTCTCTTCAAAAGCCCTGGTTTCTGTAGAAAAGTACTACTCTCCAGTTCGATCTCCACATAAACTTTCCTTGGAGAATTTAAGCTCACCTCCGACACCTACTCAGCCGTCGGAAGCCGGAAACAAGGATCGGAATTCTCAGGGAGTTTATTTTAGTAGGCCGGGTAGGGAGGATGTAACTAACGGAGTGACCAAAGTGGGACCGGTTCGTGGTGGTGACGTGGAAGGTGGAGAAATGGAAGGGGAGAGACCTCCGAGGACAGGGCGTTCGAAGAGGGAATTGACGCTGACCAGAGCGGCGTTAGGGTTTAGGGTTTGTGAGTTTGTTTTGTGCTTGATTTCCTTCTCAGTTATGGCATCTGATAAAACTGAAGGTTGGAGTGGTGACTCTTTTGATCGATACAAAGAGTACAGGTTCGAATTTATTCATAATCTGCATAATGATCTCCGATGTGTTTGAATGTTTTGAATCCCAAGGGCTTTGATTTATAATTAGGAAAAATCAATTCTAGTTTCTGAAACTCTTCTGATGTTACACCTTTTATATTATGTCACAGGTATTGTGTTGCTGTGAATGCTATTGGATTTGCATATTCTGGAATTCAAGTGTTTGATCTGATTTACAATTTAGCAAGTCGGAAACACTTCCTCTCTCACTACACGCGATATCATTTTGATTTCTTAATGGATCAGGCAAGTAATACCTTTTGAACTTGTCTACTTGGGTAACTAACACATATATCTAGTTTTTAGTTCTTGAGTCGAATGTTACTTTTCATACTGGCTGTTACTATGCTGCTAGACAGGAGGGTGTAAGTTAGGCTCTATAAAAGGTCTTAAACTGATTATTTGGAGAAGTATGACATTTCTTGACCCTTTCAAATAGTCCAAGCTTTTAGGAGCATCTTAGGACATTATAGATTGTCCGCCAAATTTTTATCTCTGTGGTTTGTGCGGAAGAAAAACTTCTGATATTAGGAGCTAGAGGATAAGATTCAACTCTTACTTCTGAACAAAAAAATCAATGCCTCATTTACACTTTACACTACTTCGATCAGTACTTGAAACCAAGACCATGTGCACTTGCACTATATGAGATAGGATGGCAGAGGGGAACCCACCAATATCTCTTTTTAGTATGACTGGCATACTATGAATTTAAATTGATTGTAGCACTGATCCCTGATACAAAACACAGGACATTCAAACTTTCTTATTTGTCGTGGGGCTGATGATCTATGCTTCACTGTCCTAAGTTTTCACTGGTCAGTTTAAATTATCATGAGAGCTCTGCTGTATGTAAAGTATCAAACTATCTTGATATGAATTGAGTGTTATATATCAATGAATAAGCTTTATACCACAAATCTTCTCCTTTAGATCCGCATCTTAATGATTAAGCTTTTCATTTTGAAGTTTGATTTCACACTGGTGTAGACGAATATAGGTCTGCCTTCTGTCTCCAGAGGACTCTTTTGACGATTTTATCTTTTTAGTCAATTTTTATTAACCAACAAACTATTTAAGTACTTATAAATCAATGACTCGTAGTCGTCATGCTTAGGGGCACAAGTTTCCAGTATTTAAACTTTGAATTGTACTTTTAGCAAATTATTTTACTTAGTAGACTGTGATAACTGGAAGCAAAAGATATGATAGTTTTTTTATTTTGCTTCTATAAAATTGATGACCCTCTTAATAATTGTTTACACAGTTCATAGTGGTGATCGGAAAACTGCTTTTAACCAGGTCCACAACTCTGCTTTGCACTGTTCCTGTTGTTTTTATGTATAATTTACTCTTTAAGTTTGTTTTGCTTTTGCTTATACCTGCGCAGATATTGGCTTATCTGATAATGTCAGCATCTTCTTCAGCTGCAACGAGGGCATATGACTGGATATCAAATTGGGGAAAAGATGAGTTTACAGAGATGGCATCTGCATCTATTGGGGTGTCCTTCCTGGCTTTTACGGCCTTTGCATTTAGCTCTCTCATTTCTGGTTACAACTTCTGCAACAGAAACGCCTCATGATGCAGCAATGAGTTTGTATCCATTTATTCGTTGAGTATATTTGAGAATCGCCACATAAAATCATATTTCTAGCTTGAGCAGCTGTACAGAAGTAGTGAATAGATTCAACTATATAACTTTTCCTTCCTACTACAAGTAAATAATATGTGCAAATGTAATCTCTTGGAGTATGCATAAAATGTAAGCAAAAAAAGAAATGAACCAGAACCTAATAACGATTAGCTATGAGGTCTTCTTATATTATTATTTTTACACCTGTGAGAGAATTACAAGGCGAGGAATCGAACCCTTATCAACAAGGTAAAAGTTCGTAACTATCAACTCAGTACTAAGATCCCCGCTAGAACTTAGAAGTTCGTATGAGGAGGTGGGTTGGGAATTACTAAAACTAGATTCACGGTTAATATCAGTATTTGTTTGGCAGAGAATGAGAAGCCGGCCATATCTTTGTATTTTATTATTCAGAGTTGTGAAAGGAACAAATGGATATATATTTTCTGGAACATATAATATTTTTTCTTGGTTTCCATCAAACTTTCAATGCAGTCCGACTATTTTAAATTCATATCGTATAGGCCCCATTTGGGAAACCTAGCAAGTACAAAAAGAATATCTTAATTTGATGAGTCATGACTTGTGAAATAACGGGACTGCATGCAAGGGCGCACCCACCTTAGGCGAAGGGTGGTCTGGTGCACATTTTTTGTCAGAAAATTATATCGTGTACAAAGGTTAAATGTTAGTTAATATGAGAATATATTTAATTTTGCACACCCTTAGCATATCTGAGAAGAAAATTTGCACACCCTTCGTTAAATTTCTAGCTCCTCCGCCGATAGCACAAATTAACTGATTGATTGTCATGTTTTAATTAAACACTACTTATATTCTATTGTTTTCTAAGAATAAGATTATTCTTTGTGAATACATGTGGACCCAAAATATTGGTCTATGCAACATTTCTACGATATTGTTATGAACTTATGATCAATTAACAAAGCGACTTGGGCCGAAAAGTATTTTTACCTCCTTTTGGAACTGATCTTTGTAAACAAACGAAAATATTCCTTATCTATGCTAAGCGAATCCAAATTAGTGGATTCCAGTGTGTACCAGACATCAAATAAATAATGTCAAGCCAAAGAGTATCTTCATTTTTATATAAAATAGTGAATATAGAATCCACAACAAATCGTATTCTTCATGTCACCCATTACTTTCTACCACATAATTTTAAACAAAGTAACATAACACTTCTCTAAGAATTGTATGGGTGTTTATTCAATTGCAGAATAACCATTGATTGATATTCACTATATTATATGTATTGTCAGTGTAATACATAGTAACATAATTAGTCTTTTTTTAGCATCAATGCAATTTGGGAGCTTACCTTTTTTTTATTTTTATTATTATTATTTTTATATGGAAATACTAGGAATTAGGAAACAAAAAAATTTAGGTATTTAACGACCAGACGCCGTCAATTTGGTCAGCCCCCGTTAAAATGCCCTCCATAGGGCCGTCTCAATTTCACTGATAAAGAATGGCACTGTATCGCCGCCTTTCTCGGAATCGCCATGTCTTCCGTCGGCACTCTATCGCTGCTCTGTATTCTTCCGGCGACCTAACAAACCCTAACCCAACTGTTCTTCATTCTCCGTTAATAAACCCCTTTCAATTTTCTTCTTCTGATGATCATAATCACACCCTCAATTCTACAAAATTGCTGACATTTTACTCTCCACATTCTTCAAGAATTGAACTTTCAGGGTTCCGCCAAGTTCTTCACTTTTCGACCTTAGCTAATTCGGAAGAGAAGAAGAAGAATGAACAACAAAAGCCTTCTTGGGTCGATACTTATTTTCCCCAAAAAATTAGACCTTATGCCCATCTTGCCCGACTTGATAAACCTATTGGCACTTGGTTACTCGCTTGGCCTTGCATGTGGTAACTCATTATTATACTCTTTATCATTGTGTTTGTGTGTTCTGTTTTCCTTTGTTATACTTTTTAAGGAACTATATGTAGGTCGATTGCTTTGGCTGCTCCACCTGGGAGCCTCCCTGATGTGAAAATGATGACACTATTTGGTTGCGGGGCCTTGCTTTTGCGAGGTGCTGGATGTACAGTTAACGATCTTCTTGATCGAGATATCGATACTAAGGTGATTGGGCTTTCCCTTGCACTTTTAGTAGAATTTTGTATAGTCGAGCTACATACTTCTATATCCTCAAATGATTGCTTTAAGTATTTGTTAATTCCACAAAACAGGGAATTCATCAACTCATTATGCTTTATTGATATCTAGAATGTTTTGAGAAGGCGAGTGGTTTTCCATATATATTGCCCAAGTAGGTAAAAGTTGGACTTCAGAATGAGGACTTTGTGTACTGAATGAAGGTGATGCCTCATTCAACACCGTCTTGCTCAAGTGTGTGAGAGAGAGATGGAATTAATGGGAGGACAAAATGCTAGTCTTTCCCTTCATATTATGATATTTCATTGCAAGATGGTGCTGCGTTTATTTATTTGACTTGGTTCTTCTGGGATCTTTACTGCTCAATTGGGTAGCAATGCGATTTGTTTGATGCCATTGAAACTTAAATTTGATAGCTCATGTCTCTTTTATTTTCTCTCCCTTGTTATCATTTGTGATCTTTTCTAAATTTATAGTTTAATAGTTCTTGACTGCTGAAATTGATATAGTATACTGCTTGAATTCCTGATTCCTCTTCTCAACCACGGTATAATCATTTCTTACCTTTGAGATTTTGCATAACAAGTTAAGTCTTTTATTTTGCTTTTTGGTGCATTTGAGAGCTTTCATTTAGTGCAGGTGGAAAGAACAAGGTCGAGGCCAGTTGCTAGCGGTGTCTTGACACCCTTTCAGGGACTCACTTTTCTTGGGTTCCAATTGCTATTAGGTCTTGGGATTCTTTTGCAATTGAATAATTATAGGTTTGTTTTCTTTCTTCTGGACATAATTTTGTTTTTTTCCAAATTTCCCCTTGCAGAGAAAGCTTTTTGCTTAATCTATTTGAGAGTGTTTTGATTGATTGGCACATTCTAGTTGGTTAGCTGATCTAGAGAATGGCTATCTGTTAGAAATTTATATGATTTCCTTTCATCTCCTGCTTTATAGAGAGGTTAGGGTAGTTTCCTTCATAAGCATGAAGTCAGAAAATTGCCATTTACTGCACAATTCCCAAGACCAACGTGAAAAATTCAGTTCGTTATTAAATTCTCATACTTCAGACTTCGATTCTTTACTTCAATCCATAATGAGAGCGATCAGTTTTGTTTGGGTAAAACCCAGGTATGGGAAGTGTAGTAATTTTCACAAGTTACAGACATATGGGACTAAAGACATGGCGCTTTTGTTGGAATCCCCATTTGGATTACATATGGGTCTAAAGACTGCACATTTCTGGGAATCTCCATTTGAATTACATATGATTTATCACTTTGTCTGGTACTATGCTTAAATTTGCATGGACAGTTTATTTTTTAACTTACCAATATTTGGAGAACTAGATATTCATGATTATATTTGATTTTTTTTCTTGCATTTCAATGAAGAAAAAGTTTTTTTTTATATGACATTTTTACATTATTAGTGATTCATTTCTATTCTTGCAGCCGCATTTTGGGTGCTTCATCCCTGTTACTGGTCTTCTCATACCCCCTCATGAAGAGGTTTACATTTTGGGTAATATATCCGAATTTTCATGCTGCATCTCTCGAATCAGTATATCTGTACTCTCTCTCGCTCTCCCTGCCCTCAACTCCAAAGGGTACAACCCTTCTCAGCTTCTGTGGATCTTTTGCCAACTGTTTGGTTTGGATGGTGATGTCTATATCTGTTGGTGCAGCCTCAAGCCTTTCTTGGTTTAACTTTCAACTGGGGAGCTTTGTTAGGTTGGGCTGCAATTAAAGGAAGTATTGATCTTGCAGTTGTGCTTCCTTTATATGCGTCCGGTGTGTTTTGGACGCTTGTATATGACACAATATATGCACATCAGGTATGTATTGATCATTTGAAATTAGCTGCCATCTCTTATAATATATGGAGTTTGAGACTTCTAGCAGAATAAATACTAACATGAATATGACATATTGGGCTAATAATATATTAAAGAAGTTTTACTCTAGTATAGGACCCTGCACCTTCAAGCATGTTTTCTTGGGACATGCACACTATTTCAGTGTCGTCATCAAGGTTTGAGGGCATATTTTTCCTTGCTAATGAGCCTCTTCTGAAGAGGCGACTAAACAATTGATATTTCACTTTATTGTTAAAAAAAATTCAATTTCCTTGGTCATATATTTGTCATTCATGCTTATAATTATTAGTCTTGGACTAAACATATATACTTGTATTTTTTCTCGCTTTGTGCCTCTTTTCGTTAAAGCCCACGTTTTATTTGTGTTTAAAGCCCCAATGGACCTAAGAGCTTTTTTGCGCTTTTTGCTTTTGGTAACACTGATAGAAACATGAACGCCTGCCTTTGCCATAAAACATGTAGACGTCACAAAAATGTTTAATTAAATGAAAGAAAAGACTCATGTTGATTAGACCTTTTAGACTTGGGTTCTCAATATTATAATTTGCCTTGTGCCACAAGTATGAATGTTTTCTTATATATCAGATGCACCTCTCTGAATTTGTGTTCCGTATTAAACTAGTATGAGATACTTATAATTCATGTGAAAGCAGCTCTTGTCAATATTTTAGTAACTGTCATCCAGGATAAAGAAGATGATCTCAAAGTGGGTGTCAAATCTACAGCCTTGAGATTTGGAGATTCCACAAAAGAATGGATCAGTGGGTTTGGATTAGCATGCATCAGCAGTCTTGCTCTTTCCGGAATTAATGCTGATATTGGTAACTATTTCCATTCTCTAATTTATTTAGCTACAATGGTCTTGTGGCTATCATTTCTCTTGTTACTTAGTTGCCACAATTTCAGTTTAATTTTGCTTCTCTTCTTTGTCTGGATTAGGATGGCCATACTACGCCTTTTTGACAGCTGCTTCTGGCCAATTGGCTTGGCAAATTTGGACTGTTGACCTTTCATCTCGTGCAGACTGCAACAGAAAGTATGTATCAATTAGTAACTAGAGACATGATTACATTTAATTTACAGAATGAATTTACACTTAACTGGCTTACTGCTACTTGTCAGCTACTATGAGCTTGAAACTCCTGACATGCTGACAATTAGTCTGATTTAGTCATCAGTGGCAGAGTTGATTTTTAGCAAGTATCACAAGCAATTCACATATAGCACCCAAAGAAGTTCAAATGCACCTATGCATTGATTCATGTTACCTATAATAATGTTTAGTCTTCTAAACTCTCACTGTTTGAACTTATTGTGCTTTGTATGTAGATTTGTTTCCAACAAATGGTTTGGTGCATTTATCTTTGGTGGGATTCTCTTTGGACGACTATTGTGACAATAGTATGCGGTAACAATGTTTTTTTCTTCTTTAACCATTTGTTCATTGTGAATCTCAATGCCATTGGTCGGCATGTATTTGGAGTTCTTTCCCAAAGAAATATTCAGAAATATATGCCAAGTCATTTTTGGTTATAATTCTATTGCAGATAAAGAACAAGTCTCTACCAATTTAACTGGCAGGGGCAGGTAAGTTTTTTTTTTTTTTTTGGGTTACACTAGAGCTTTTTGCCTTTTGGTATTAGAATAACTAAATGGAGATGATCACATCTGATTGTATTCCTAGTAGCACAAAGAGGATGAAATAAAAGGTTGCATGAGGATGGTTTGGCCATGTACACATATGACTCCAAGCGCATTTGGTTTGTAATGTGACACTATAGTGATTGGAAGTGTTAAAAGTGAACAAGGTAAACCCAAAGTAACACTGGGAAAATTTTCTCAAAACTACTATCTCACGAAATCTGTAGCAGAGTGCAACACAACTAAAAGTAAAATATATTTTAAGTGATATCAACTAATTGGGAGTAAGACTTAGTCGTGATGCTACACTCATAGGTCCATATTTAGAAGGGGTCTTTTTAGTTTGTTTAAATGATTTGTTGGTAAGTAGAACATGCATATGACCTCTAGTGTTTGTGAGCCCTTTTTTGTCTTTAAAGACAATTTTTTGAGATTGGAGCGAAACCAGTTCAATGAAAACCTTGGAGGGTTCAAATTCCAAGATAGAGAAAAAGGTAGGTAATTTCTGTCAATCTCCCTAAGCCCTAGTGGGCATCGTTATTCTCATACCTGCGTTGGTGGGAGGTAGTTGGTGCCCGGTGAAATAGTGAGGATCCACGTAGCTTGCCCAGCCACCATCCCAATAATAAAAGCTAGAGAAAAAGAAAATAGAGTGGTATGTATATTGAAGATCCATGTAGCTCTCCCTACTAGTTTTGGGATTCAGACGTGTTGATATGAATTCATAACATACATGCCGTGACCTTATATCCTTTGTATAATTTAGCTCTCGTATATTTTGTTTGGTTTAGTCACTGATGGTACTTATTTAACTTTGTTCTGATGACTGAAACAATGTTTGCCTGTTGAAACAACATGCATTGTAATATTACTCCCTTCTTTTTGGGGTGTGTAGATCCAGTAATCTTTAGTTAACGCATGTCAAACTTACTGGATTCGTAGTCCTTGCTTACGGATGGAATATTATTTGATTTATTTCTGTCTAAACACTTATATGCTTGTTAGTTGTGCGTAAGAATTGATATTATGACCTCCTAGGCTCGCTTTTCCCACCCACCACCAAGCAACATTCTTATTTGCATTCAGTTAATGCTCTTATTGCTAGGAATTCTGGGGATGCTAGGTATTCATTTTTTCTTTTTTATTCCTTCCCACCCGCACACACCCCGGGATTAAATGAACTTTCTTGGTTGTAAAGATTGACTACTTTTTTTTGTCACAACCCTTGAGGGGATCTGGGGGTGTTGCTCACCCCCAGGCCTTAACATAAATAAAACAAAGCAAATATACAAGAGAGACATAAACCTTTCCTCCGATCCTATGATGGTTCATAAGTTGACTATGAACCATCATAGGATCGGAGATAAGGTTTATGTCCCCCTCCTGTATATTTGTTTTGTTTTATTTATGTTAAGGCCTGGGGTGTTGCTCAACCCCTGACCCCCTCTATTTGTACATAAGTGTGGAGGGGTGTGAAACCATACCATGAGTTACAGAAGGCAAGAACATCTTATTAAATTGTTTTTCCTCGTGATTGATGCCATGGTCATGTTGTACATAGGCATTACTGTGAAGACTTGTATTCCCCCCCCCCCCCCCCCCCGTCCTCCCAAGTGCCTAATCTCTAATTCAAGTATTCTTTAACTAGTGTACGATGGGAGCTCAACGTTGGAGCTTGCGGCAAATTTCAAGTGGGGTGACCAAATAATTTGTTCCTTGCAGCATCCAAAGCTGTATCTGGGCCGTACGAGAAGCATGTGCAGGATTTGTGACCGATCCCATTTGTTTGAAGATACAGTAAAAGTTTTCTCCTAGGGGTGCAGACATACAACTTCTTTTTCTTTTCCTTTTTTCCTCCACGCCATCGTGAAAGGTAGAAGATTATAGCTTTCTTTATAGAACAATTCACCAGAGACTTCTCTAAAATCAGCTTGCATCTGTTGTAGTTTCCCTTTGCCCGTTGTTCGGGAATATTATTTTTTTTTGCTGAAATATTCATTGAAGACTCTCCCTCCCCCGACCCGGGGGGTTTGAAGATGTATCATTTCCTTGTAATGTGTTCTCTCAATAGGTGGTGCTGAGTTCAAGAAGTGTGATATATTATAAAGGTCATTGCATTTGTTAATATGATTGGCAAAAACATTTAGTTGGTTAGTGTGGCCAATGTTAATGGGCTTTAAACATGTAACTGGACTCATAATTTCCACATAATATAATGACTAACAAAATAACCTTTGATGTTATCCCGTGATAGGGTAAAATTAAGGCGGTACTTCATTCTTGTAAGCAAGGAGAATTAAGGGTGTTTCGGTATATAATTATCTCAAATAATCTAGATATGGAAGGTGCGGGTGAGAGCGGGGGGTACCGGTGAAGGTGATGTGTGTTAGAGGCTGCGGAGGACCAAATCAATGCGGCATGGGTTAGCTTGTGAGACTTTGTTTTTTCAGCTTTTATTAGGAAAGTCAGTTTTAAGGTGATTATTTTATTATTTTTTTAGAAAATATTTTTCAAAAAATTTGACCAAACAAAAATTGAAAACATTTCTTTCCATACCGAACACACTAGATTCATTCTTCTAGTAGTTGGCTTTGACATCATGATGCGACTACTCATTAATACTACGCAAACGTACATACTTGCAAGTAAGCAAATGGTAATTCTTATACTTGTCTATAATTTGAATTTATTACATATCGCACTAATGCATGAACAACTACATTTATGACAATTGCATTGCCGGAGTATTTCTCATTAGATTGAATTTGAACATATCAAAATGAACTGAATCAATAACGGTGAGTTATTGCTCAATTCTATACAAAAATTAATCACTTGATTGAGATAGGATTGATAATCATAATTAACTTAACTTATTCAACTCTTATAAAATCTAATTTAATCCTAATGTTGTGGAATGAAGTTTACAAGAAAAAAAAAATTAAGAATAACCTGAAAGGAATACAACGTAACTAAGGGACCGATATTTGTAAGACCATATATATAATACAACAAAGACACATGTGATGTCCATCGTCACCCATGTTACTTCATTTATTTGAGCTATACGTGACAGCAACATTAATTATTCTAGTACCTAACAACCAATACGTAAATAGTACTAATATAATTAGTTAATCATCTTTTTAGCTTACTAATTTGCCAAATGTTGTTTGTATTGAACCAACTTGTTAAGCCTAAACCTATGTTAAGTCACTATTGTCTACCTAATTAAGCCAATTATTTCGACTTAATTACTTTCTAAGAATATCTCCTTAATTATGATATGTCCTTATCCATAGAATTTTGATAAGCAAGAATAGATTAGTGGTTTAGAATATTATACACGTTAGAGGCTAAATACGGAAAAGTTTGAGTAATTTAGTGGATTTGGACAACAAAGATGTGAAATTTGATGTCCATGAAACATAAATTAGGGAGGGATGAATTAATTAATACTTGAAATATTGAGGTGAAAAATAAAGAAAACTTAAAATTAGAAGGAATAAAAAAAAAACACTAAGTGATTTTTCTCATCAGTCCTAGTCTTAGTGGACATAGTTATCTAGTGGGAAGTGACAAATATCCCGTAAAAGCTAGCACAAACACCACGACATAAATTTTGTTTTAGAAAAAACATTATTCAACCCAAGTTCCAGAAAAGCAAAAACATGTTTGGGCAGATCTACTTTTCTGGTAATTTTGTAAGTGCTATTGTGTGGCTCTTATGATATTGTAAGTATTATTGAGCGAAGGGGAATTTTAGAGCAGTAAAGTTATCTCCTGATTAATAGGTTTTGGGTTTGAGCCATGAAATCAATTATCAATGCTTATATTAAAATAAGTTGTCTATATCACAATTTCGTAATCTTGTCATGAATCATGTATAAATACGAGATGCTTTTGAGAAATATAATTTTTCCCTTCATATTTTATAGTATAATATTTTGATTTTCTAACGGTTTCGGTGCATGTGATACTGTCCGATTGTGCACGCGCCTGTTGGACTATATCAACTCAAGTACAGTATAGTATAGCTGCATTAGTGTGATATTGTCCGATTTGAATAAAATTTGTACGATTTCTTTCAAAGGTCTCATATCGTTAGACATTACTTGAGAGTATTTCAACATTTTATAGGTAACTTTCAAGATAATTCTTTCAATTAAAATAATAAAATATCATTCATGTATTCATTAATATACCAATTGAATTAGGTATTGTGTAACCTATCTCGTCGATTCGTGAGTCGTAAGGTGTCCATCAGTTCGATTTTATGTATTATTGGTTTTCGGTTTTTAAATACGCTAAATCAATAACAAATCAATAAGATATTTTTTATCGGGTTTTGGTCATTAACGATTCGATTTTCGGTTTACCCAATAAGACAATGCTCATAAAATAAATAAATGATTTCTCACTTCTCCAACAATTTGTCGCGATACAGTGAGACAAGCAAATTAGTTATAAATTTGATTTAGTGGAACAAGAAATATAATGAGAAATTGCATCAATAAGAGTAGATGTAGTACGAAGGCTACAATTACATATTACAGCCAAAACATATATAATATGGAATTTCTTATGTGACGTAGAAGTATTCTGGCGTGTGAAGTGTGTAGACTGTAGTGTAGAGTGCTCATATATAGTGTCTAGTTATGTTAAATTATTAATATTTAATATTTATGAAGGGTATAACAGTAAATTACTATCGTCTTAATGGGTTATCGGTTTACCCAATAACCCAATACTGAAAATTGATACCAAACCAACAACCCAATTTTTTTTTTTATAAAATCATTAAAAACCCGTTAACCCAATAACATTTTTTTCGATTCGGTTTTTACACGCCATGAGTCTCTCATATTAAATTTCACGTGGAATATTACCAATTTTTACGTTTTCTTGCG